AAATAAAAACATAAAACAGGGTGTCAACTCAGATTCAGGGTATTCTGCTTCAGACGGGTCTGAGAATTCACCCATTCACATTCCAGCTTTTGATTAGTTTTTATGTCTAAATATAATGAAGGTGGAGGTAAATCAAAATGGCTAGCAGTTTGAAGTAGCTTCAAACTGAAGAAATCGGAGGATCAATAGTTTTCCCACTTCATGAAAGAGACAAATACATTAAAAAAGACTTTTTAAAAAGGTTTCTGCATCCCAATCAGCGTCTTCCTCCCATCATTAAGCTAAAACTCATCAGACAGTTTTGCTCATTTACTTATTTGACAGACCTAAGCTCACATAAATGCTTTAAAACACATCCTGAACCTTCTGCCTGCAGAGACTCTGTAAAGGTCCACGTAAATAGCCGGATTACCGGTCAAAAACAGCTTTAAGTGCAGCAGAAGAGACAGAAAAACAGGAAAAACAAGCTTCTGGTGCCTCCTCTAATTTTTCCTCTGCACTGGGAGCAAAACCTCAAAAACTGTTGAGGATCCAGCCAGTACAAAGGTGAAAATGCTGGTTCCTCCCTGATCAGCCAGACTGAGAAACCACCTTTAGACTTTGTTTGGCTTTCCCTAAAACGTCCACCAAAAGGGCAGAACACACAAAAGCAGAAACTTTTCTTGACTTTTGAGGCGTCGCTAAAACCCAGAAAGAATTCCTGCCTGTTTCACTCATTTAAAATCTCAGAGAAGATCCAAAACAATCCCTTCAATCCCTCTAAAAGCCAAATAAAGTTAAATAGGATTGAAAGTTCCGATCTTATTTTTGGAGAGAAACGTTTGATATTTCACCAAATAAATGAGAACGTTTCAGATTAATTTTTTCATCTGTTTCTCTGGTGGCTTCTTTTCAGCCTCGCTGGTGCTTTCGGTGATAATCGGAGAAATGTCTGTCATATTTCCACAGAAAATCGGAGTAAAATGAAGGAAAGTAGTCCTGCTTTTCTGTTTTCTGTGAAGAAAAACGTTGTCTCCTCTCGCAGAAGATCTCAGCCTTGTCCTTTATTACTTTTACCTTCTCAGAAAAGAGGAGCGGGGGGGGATTAGCTCTGGTCACAGGGAGGGAGAAAAATGGCCGGTGGATTTATTGGGGGAGACGGCAGCTGGACGGCGGGGCTGACAGAGCAGATCCAATAGCGCGGCGTGTTCTCTCTAATCTTATGAGTGGCCGGGGAGCGAGGTGAGTCCAGATAAAAGTAAATCTAGTTGGCGGTAAAGATTTGCTGTCCTCATT